ACTAGTTGCCTATCAGTAACATCACACATTGTGGGCATCATTTCAATAAGTGAAGTGTGGGGTGTGCATAACATTGTTTTATTTTGTCATAATCTCACTATAGCTGCAAAGAATGTCCGTGTGAAAAGAGACATTGGAGAACAACATAATAGGACACTGCCACCTGGTAGGAGCAAATTATCTAAGCAAAGACCTCATTTGTGCCATTTAGATACAGCTCTGTGTTGGATTAGTGTGGCTCCACCTTTGCTCAAGGAGGGGAGCGAGAGGTCGTCTGCTTTAGGGAATCAAAATACTTCCCTGAGTGAGCAAAGGCAGTACACCCTCCACTACATCCTGTCATGGCAAGCAGCATATTACCCTCTGTGGCCCACAGCTCAGCCAGATGGCGCAGAGGAGCGTAGGTATGGACCTATCTCCTCCTCCCCACGCCTCTTAGAGTGCTGCATGCTTGAACCCAGGTAATTCAAGTCTGCCCAGCCTCTGTGTGAATGACGAAAGCAGAAGAGGAGTCTCAATGAGCCTCTACCATCCTTATGCACCAACTTATGGGCCAGCCAGAGTCTTGCCCTAAGTTCTTACTCTGCTCTCATCACCACCTTGCATGAAGAGGACTCGCTCCCTTCTTATTGCCTGTCGAGACATGCTAACATTCACAAGCCCACTGGGACTCCTTTTAAAAAGGAACATTAGGAATATTTAGCATTTACACAAAGGCATTTACCTCTTCAAACATCAAGTAATTACCACTAATACTACTGAGTGAGGTAAGCACTGAGAGGCTTAGTTATTTGCCCAAGACCCCACTAATCAATGGCAAAGCAGGGTGAGCATTCAGGAGCGTCTTGAGTTTTGCCCTATGCTCACTAGATGTCACAGCTTCCTTAGTGTGATCTAATCCCAGCATATAAAACTGAGCATGGTACATGTTTTTCTCAGTGCATCAAATGCCTCATAAAGAGTAATGGAAACCAGGCCTGTGGATCTGATGCTTTGTCCTTTGCAAAGAGTAACACTACGTGGCTCAGTGCTACATAAAACAGGCTGCTTGGCAACAATATTACACAAATATGTCCAAAATTCAAAGTCTGAATCTATGAAAAGAGCCTGGATATGTCATCTGAAAACTCAGGCCCTCCTCAGCTGAGCTTAACAGAAACCCTGCTGTTGTCCTAAATCAGCTCCTCTTCATTGTGAACTGAGTGGTGACTCGCCATTATCTTGTACTGGGTGTGGTCATTTGATACTCGCTTTGCACTCATGTAAACAACCTAATGCAGGCTGCGTGGCAATAGAGATTGAGATCCTCAGCCTGCATTAGTTACATTGGCAGTCTCTGGAGGTTGGCGTTTTCATAGGATGGTACGGGTAATCCCGCAATGAAGCAACCCTTATTGTGTTTCCTCCATGTCTGGCACTGAGTATGACCGGTATGGCCTTCTCATTTACCTCATGCAATAGCCATACCAAAAATATGGACAAAGGGAGTCTTTGCAGTTCTGTTCTATCAGGAAACAAGATATCACTGCAGATATTTTAAACCTGGTTTGGCAATTGTCTCGAAAGTGGTAGGAAATGCTCCAAAAAAAGAAATAGAAAAATAAACTCCAGACCACACTTATATCACTGATACACTGTTGAGAGCTGTAATTCAGGCAACACGCAAAAAAAAGGAGAGTGAGTAGTCCTAGCCCTGAGAGCAGCATTTACTTCTTATCTGGATGCTCATGCTTCCCCCATCCCTTCTTCACAGACTCCCAAGGCAAATAGGCCTGACACACACAGTATGTGGCACACTGTGTTCTAAGGGGCAAAAACACTCAGATCTCTGTTGCTTTTCCCATTCTTTTTCTTATGGAGAAACGGTTCGGCAAAGCCATCTCTTCCCCATTCTGCCAGCCTTCCCAACAACCTGACCCAATCCAGGCAGCTGGGGTATGACCGCTGAAAGAGAGTCAGTAACTTGCTGCAATTACGTATGCATTTCTGGACTTAATCAAAAGGGGCTGGATAACAAGCCATAGTCTCCCAAGTGGAGCAGATTCCATAACTGGCTCCTTAGCTTGTTGAGTCACCCCACCAGCTAATTTACAAAAAAATAGCTAAATCAGTCAATTTGAACTACCCTTCCAGGCCTACTTGGCAGCCTCTCAGGAAGCCTGATCTATGCCAGCCTATTGGGTTATTCTTTTTCCTCTCTCCCTCTCAACAAGAGCTGCTGCAGTAGAGAGAAGGCAAAGGACACACAAGGAGAGCTCCAGTGTCCTTTCACATAATTATTTGAGCCTCAAAATGGGCTTTTTAGCCATTATTAGCCAGCTGCTAAATGGAGTTCATAGTCTAGTCAGACTACCTACATAGAAAAGAAACAAAGTGTGAGTGTGTGAGTGTGTGTGTGTGTGAGTGTGTGAGTGTGTGTGTGAGAGAGAGAGAGAGAGAGAGCGCCCATATGGTTCAGAACCCATGAGGAGCAAAATTCTCTGTCTCTCTCTCTACTTTTCATGCTTATATACAGCATGGTTTCTTTTTTATTTTTTTCAAATGAAAGCCATGCATGGTAGAAGCTGGGAGTGGCCGCCAACTGTTCTGTACTAGAAATGCTAAAATGAGGCTTACTTTCCTAATGGAGTAGTCGATAGTTTTTTTTTTTTGCATTCAGGAGCGTCTTGAGTTTTGCCCTATGCTCACTAGATGTCACAGCTTCCTTAGTGTGATCTAATCCCAGCATATAAAACTGAGCATGGTACATGTTTTTCTCAGTGCATCAAATGCCTCATAAAGAGTAATGGAAACCAGGCCTGTGGATCTGATGCTTTGTCCTTTGCAAAGAGTAACACTACGTGGCTCAGTGCTACATAAAACAGGCTGCTTGGCAACAATATTACACAAATATGTCCAAAATTCAAAGTCTGAATCTATGAAAAGAGCCTGGATATGTCATCTGAAAACTCAGGCCCTCCTCAGCTGAGCTTAACAGAAACCCTGCTGTTGTCCTAAATCAGCTCCTCTTCATTGTGAACTGAGTGGTGACTCGCCATTATCTTGTACTGGGTGTGGTCATTTGATACTCGCTTTGCACTCATGTAAACAACCTAATGCAGGCTGCGTGGCAATAGAGATTGAGATCCTCAGCCTGCATTAGTTACATTGGCAGTCTCTGGAGGTTGGCGTTTTCATAGGATGGTACGGGTAATCCCGCAATGAAGCAACCCTTATTGTGTTTCCTCCATGTCTGGCACTGAGTATGACCGGTATGGCCTTCTCATTTACCTCATGCAATAGCCATACCAAAAATATGGACAAAGGGAGTCTTTGCAGTTCTGTTCTATCAGGAAACAAGATATCACTGCAGATATTTTAAACCTGGTTTGGCAATTGTCTCGAAAGTGGTAGGAAATGCTCCAAAAAAAGAAATAGAAAAATAAACTCCAGACCACACTTATATCACTGATACACTGTTGAGAGCTGTAATTCAGGCAACACGCAAAAAAAAGGAGAGTGAGTAGTCCTAGCCCTGAGAGCAGCATTTACTTCTTATCTGGATGCTCATGCTTCCCCCATCCCTTCTTCACAGACTCCCAAGGCAAATAGGCCTGACACACACAGTATGTGGCACACTGTGTTCTAAGGGGCAAAAACACTCAGATCTCTGTTGCTTTTCCCATTCTTTTTCTTATGGAGAAACGGTTCGGCAAAGCCATCTCTTCCCCATTCTGCCAGCCTTCCCAACAACCTGACCCAATCCAGGCAGCTGGGGTATGACCGCTGAAAGAGAGTCAGTAACTTGCTGCAATTACGTATGCATTTCTGGACTTAATCAAAAGGGGCTGGATAACAAGCCATAGTCTCCCAAGTGGAGCAGATTCCATAACTGGCTCCTTAGCTTGTTGAGTCACCCCACCAGCTAATTTACAAAAAAATAGCTAAATCAGTCAATTTGAACTACCCTTCCAGGCCTACTTGGCAGCCTCTCAGGAAGCCTGATCTATGCCAGCCTATTGGGTTATTCTTTTTCCTCTCTCCCTCTCAACAAGAGCTGCTGCAGTAGAGAGAAGGCAAAGGACACACAAGGAGAGCTCCAGTGTCCTTTCACATAATTATTTGAGCCTCAAAATGGGCTTTTTAGCCATTATTAGCCAGCTGCTAAATGGAGTTCATAGTCTAGTCAGACTACCTACATAGAAAAGAAACAAAGTGTGTGTGTGTGAGTGTGTGAGTGTGTGAGTGTGTGTGTGAGAGAGAGAGAGAGAGAGAGCGCCCATATGGTTCAGAACCCATGAGGAGCAAAATTCTCTGTCTCTCTCTCTACTTTTCATGCTTATATACAGCATGGTTTCTTTTTTATTTTTTTCAAATGAAAGCCATGCATGGTAGAAGCTGGGAGTGGCCGCCAACTGTTCTGTACTAGAAATGCTAAAATGAGGCTTACTTTCCTAATGGAGTAGTCGATAGTTTTTTTTTTTTTATCAACTATTCAGTTAATTGATAAGGGTAGGCAATTACAGAGCTCAGTCTGACTAGCACCAGGTCCCAGCATAACTTCCCCCACAGCTGGTCTGCATTATAAAGGACAGGGAAGCCAGCGCGCAAAGTTGCTGGGGCAATCCCTGGTCCTGCGGGTCTCCAATCAGTCAGCATGTCCTCCCTTTCCCCCACTGCCACTCTTCATTATAAAGGACAGAGAATTCTGTCCTTTATAATGCAGAGTGGTGGTGGGGAAGAGGGGGAGGGAATACAACTAGTTGATAGTGCTAATAGATACGCTAAATTAGCTTCTGCTTATTGGTTAGTCGACTAGTCGCTTACATCCCTATTGTGTACCAAAATAAAACTTAACACTCCCTCTCCTAGAAGTAGTTATTGTCTCCCCAGCTTAGTCATGACTGGATACACCTACCCCTATTCATCCCTCAGAGCAGTGGCTACATTTAATAATGTGCTCACTTACCTTCTTTTTGGCTTTACATTCTGAAGATCAAAAGAAAGGCCTCTCTGAAGAACATGGAAGGTCTTTAGCAAGTGCACGCTTGGGAGCTGAGTTCCTGTTGCTTGGAGGTAAGTTAGGAATACTTACCCTATTTACACTCTGCTGAAGCTAAGAGAGAAGATCATGGCAGTGAGAGGCGCATTAGGCCCTCAGATATGCCAAGCCTAGCTAGGAGCTTTACAAGAACTACTTGACTTCCTGCTTTCCTACATTGTCCCTGTTACTGTGCTGCCCTGATTTCCAATCTTTCAATACCCAGACAGGAAGGAAGGCTTCACTAAAATAATCTGAATTTCTTAATACAAAAGTCTCTTAAGGAGCACTGGCCCCTTCTGTTGCATGGTGCACCAACATAGCATTTTCCTCCTCTTCCTGCTAAATCTCAATATATTCCTCTGAATTTAAGTGTGATTGTTGTTTTCAAAGTTCTACGCCTTGGTGGTTCTTATTGTGGACTGTATGGTTGGCTGAGGGTATGTCTGTCTTTCACACTAAGCCTGGGCTCTGAGTCAAGTTTGAGCCCTCGTCTCCACGCAGACATCAGTCTGACTCAGGTCAGCCAGCATTCAGGACCCAAATCCTAGTTCCTTCTTCTAAGGGTGGGCCAGAGAGCCTCAGTCCCACTAGGAATCTGTTCCAAGCACTGTCATTTTGCAGTGTGGCTGCAGATCCAAGTCAGAAGGTCTGTGTAGTACAGCATGGACATGTTAACATGGCTGTGAGATTCTAGTCTAGCAATTCTAAACCCAGACAGCACAGTGCAGTGAGAACACCCCAGCACTAGACTGGAAACACCAACTTGAGAAACCCGAATCCCACTTACCTAGGCTGACTATGCAGTGAGGACATACTCCGAGTGTCTCTTCTGCAGAAGTGCAGAAATTGCACTTGGCTGGAGAGTGTTTTAATGGATTCTTGGGTGGAAAAGTTCTCCAATAGTGCCACTAGGGTGACTTTGCAGAGGCATGTGGTTCTACTATGTAGGATGGCAAATGTTCCACAATGGGTCACATCAATCAGTCATGCAGCAGACTGTCTCGAACCGTCAATGCGCTTGTAGTAGTTTTACCCTACATATTGAATGACTTGGGGTGGTTCTTGTCTTCTGGGTGATAGTATTAGTCCTACTCACAACCACCAGGGCCACTGACTTTAGGTCTAATGGATAGTAGAAAACAGGTGGGAGGCATGATCTTGAGGTGATCATGAGAGCTGTCTGCTGAAGATACTGGTCCACTTTCCTTTGTCAGGCGGAAGATGTGTCTGAGCCTGTGAGGTTCTGCTGTTAGTTCAGCAGCATGTTGATTTTTTTCCCCCAGCATAAGCATCATGAGACTGCGCAGTGGTGTTGTCATATGCCCTCAAGTTCCACAGTGGAGGGATATCTTTAGCGACACCACACACACAGTCCTTGGTAGTGTAGATGTACTTTGTGACATGGCACCCTATAATTTGTTTGTGGGTAAATGAGGGTGGTCAAAGTGCAGTTCATTCCCAGTCTGCAAGGTAAGCCCGCAAGTATGTGGCTGTAAATTGTGACACATTGTTGGCAATAATGTTTTGTTGGGCTGTCGAGTGGCCAAACAGCTCATCAAGAGTGCATATAGTTTCCAAGTTTCCTATGAAATACCATGAATGGCCAATTTTATCCAGTGCCACAGACTTGCATACGGGGGGTACCTGTCTGGAAGCTGACTAATAACACAGTGGTAAGTGCCCTTGATGAAGATGGAGCTCTTAGCCCTGGTATCCAGCAGTGTACCCTGGCTACAGTGAGTACAAGATGCTGTTGTACCTTCACCTACCGTTGTTGCTGTGAGTTTTCAGAGTACAAAAGAGATCCTGTTAACTGCAATAGGAAACCTGTCCTCTCCTTCTGGGTTACAGTGTTCTGAAAAGATGGTAGCAATAGCCTCTTTTGGCTTCAGAAGCATTTAGCCAAGGCATTGAGATGGCAGAGGTCAATGTAACGATCTGGGTAACTAATCTGCATTTGCATCCCTGGCCATTTTAACCCCAGTAGGAACACAATAGTGCTGACCTAATTCTAGGTATCTATGTACTTATAGAATCACTGGGCAGAGTGATAAGACTTATGCAGGAAACTGTTTGAGAGGCAGCTAGCTGCAGATTAAACTGACTAATTATTGAGAGAAGAAGCTATTAAGAGCTGATGTAAAGATAAGGCAGAGAAAGCCATGTGCAGTTCACATCAACATATTTTATTGGTCTAACAGAGACTAGGAACTATGTTACAAATTCCTGATTGCTTTCTACTAGTACAGGCAGTCCCCGGGTTACGTACAAGATAGGGACTGTAGGTTTGTTCTTAAGTTGAATTTGTATGTAAGTCAGAACTGGTACATATTGTAGGGGAAACTCTAGCCAAACATTTCTCCAGAGCTCAGTTTTATTCTCCCACACCTCACTTCCCTCAGTCCTTTATTCTCAAGCTGAGGTGTCTGCTGAGAAAAGCCGCTCCGCGTCTCCCTGGTCTGCTGGGGGGGGGCGCTAGCTTCACGTCTCCCTGGTCTGCTGGGGGGAAGTAGCTAGTGTGGGGTTGCCTCACCCCGTTTGTAAGTAGGGATCCGATGTAAGTCGGATCCATGTAATCCGGGGACTGCCTGTACCTTATCTATTCATCGCCTAGTCACACACTGAAACCATCAGCCTGGGAATCTAGGCTGCTTGCTCCATTGTGTCAATTTTTGCTTCCAGAGGAGATTTCTCTTCATTTGTGAACACTGGAGGTGCAAGATCTTCATCATGTATTTTGCCTAAAGCAGACAGTGGGACACATTTCTTTAGGCCTAGGATGTAATGTTTAATGTATTTTTCATGAGCTCTGTATATGCTGACCAAAGAAACAGCATTGGCTCACTGAGATGTTTGAAGAAATAAGCTAGTGAATCTGAAGTTTTTGAGGTAGCAAATTATGCCTTTGCATTGGCTCACTGAGATGTCTGAAGAAATAAGCTAGTGAATCTGAAGTTTTTGAGGTAGCAAATTATGCCACATGTGACTATGGTTACCAGTGTGTAGAACACCATATAAATATGTATATAAGAGAGAAAAAACATATATGTCACTTCACCATTGAAATGCAGTGAGAAAAGCCACAAGTTAAGCCTGAAGTCTGGCTGAGAGAGAAGGAAATAAAAACCTCTCCAAAAATTGCAAACCTTATAAAGTTATTTTACAAGATTGATTTTTTTTTTCTTGGCAGTGGAAGAGTTTTTTGTGTGTGTGGAAGGTCTCTCTTCCAAATTCTGCAGATGTCAGTCTGTTTGGGGAAGATACCCAAGGGAGGGGGCAAAAGGCAACTGTTTTATAAAAAATACACAAAAAGTGAGTGTGTATATATTGTGCATCTGGGATTTCCAGGATTGATTATCCTCTTCAGTTGCATATTGCAACAAATAGCGGAGTATTTACTGCAGTAGTGACTACAATGCAGTCTATGCTCTAAGCTTTTTTTTTTTTCTTCACCTTATATCTTGCTATCCACATTCTGAAGCAACTTGAACACAAAGCTGAGACGAAAATTTTAAATAACTGTTTGCTTCTTTGGAATGTGAAAGTTGTGGATATGTTGGACACTAATTCCATTTTTATCATTACAGCTACAACAAAATGGGGAACCAAACTATAGCTTTCCTTAGCAACCACACCTGATGGGCGGGGGGTTGTAGTCACAGTGGTCATATGGTTCCCACTGGTTTCATGGTAGGGTGACCAGATGTCCCAGTTTTACAAGAAGGCAAATAAAGGCTCCAATTATGCAATATTTCTTTTTAACAGGGGTTCAGTCAACTTGCTGGTAATTTCAATGTTTGTATTGTGTAGTTCTTATAGGTTGCCATTGCGCTCACTTGAATACAGGAAGTCCCTGGGTTCCGTACAAGATAGGGACTGTAGGTTTGTTCTTAAGTTGAATTTGTATGTAAGTCGGAACTGGTACATATTGTAGGGGAAACTTTAGCCAAACATTTCTCCAGAGCTCAGTTTTATTCTCCCACACCTCACTTCCCTCAGTCCTTTATTCTCAAGCTGAGGTGTCTGCTGAGAAAAGCCGCTTCCCTTCTCCCTGGTCTGCTGGGGGGAAGCAGCTAGTGCGGGGTTGCCTCACCCCGTTTGTAAGTAGGGATCCAATGTAAGATGGATCCATGTAACCCGGGGACTGCCTGTACAAGTAATTTTATCAAGTGTCCTGTATTTAGCATTGGGAAATAGGGTTCTCTTACTTCATGGGGGAGCTGCATGTTCCTGGTGGCTACAGCACCAGGTTTACATAGGACTCCTAACGGGGATTTAATTTGCTGTGTGTAATCTGTATCTCATTTGAATTGCTGTAGGGAGGCATGACCTGCAAAATTTCGACAAAGGTTTCCAATTTTTTTCAATCAACTAAAGCTTGTTGGAATTGTTTCATTTTTCAAAACAAAAAAAAAATTGACAGTTTGAAAATTAACCCTTCCCCCCGTGTTTTTACAATTTTACTTTTTACTAATAGCCAACTGTCCTCTGGGTGAAGTCTCTCCTCTCTCTTTGCTTACCCCACTGCCATAGGCTTACAACCTATTAATAAAGATCTGTTTCAAAAAGACAAAAGCAATGAAAAAAAGGAGTCCTGTAAGTGAACTATCCCAGCTACTCCTGCAAGCACTGCTTGCAGAGGCTCTGTGGGTGCTCTGGGCTCATCAATCAAATGTGAGTTGGAAGGACTCCCACTACCTTTCTTGCTGCTGTTCCTCTGGCCAGCATCTCCAGCATGTTCAACATCTTAAAAAAAACACCCCTTAAATCACAGCATGATGATAGTGCTGGGAGAGATCAAGACTGAGATTGTTAATGAAAAAAGGGGGCTTCAAACCTTTTGAAAATTCAGATTTGGGGCCTGATTCTCCTGTCACTTGCACCAGGATAATGCAGAAATAACTCCACTGGAAACAGTAGAGTGATAGCAGCATGAAACTGGTGTCAGATCAGAATCAGGCCCACCCTGAAGTTCTTATGGAACTTGTGTTTCTTTGGGGGCTGTACTTAAGGGCTGCTGGAATCAATGCTG